CCCCCCCCCGCCTCGGCCGCCCCAAATCTTCAATTTCTTCGCCTTCTCCCCTCCCCGGGCGCCGCGGCAGGGCCAGGTGCGGGCAGCGCGGGTCCCATCGCGGGCCGCGCCGCCGCCGCCGCCGCCGCCGCCCGCCCCGCGTCACCCCCCCGTCGGCCGCCGGGGCCCCATGGCGCTGCCCGGAGCCCCAGCGCCTCTCGCCCTCAGCCCTGGCGTCCCGCAGCCCAGCCCTGCACACGCACTCACACTCACACACACACTCACGCTCCCCGCCCCCCCCCTCCGCTCCCCCTCTTCGCGCTGTGCACACGCGTATACGGGGCGGCTTCGCCAACCTTAAAAAAAAAAAGCTTACACTTAAAAAAAAAAGCTTTTGGCGCCATATTAATGACGTACTTAAAATTTGCCATTTCTCCTGCGTCAAAAAGACGGCTCTTGCCCATCGCGTGGCGGGCGGGGGCCGCGGTGCGTAGCTGCCCCCTCCCTTCCGCACCCGCGTTGCAAAGTTCCGCGGCCACGGGGCCGTAGGAACAGCCGGGGCGCGGGGAGAGTGCGGAGGCTCCTCTCCGGCACCGTAGCCGTTCCGGAGGGGCGAGGAACGGCGGGGCTGGGGATGTAAGTGCAACAGAAGAGCCCCCCCGACCCGTGCGCGTGTGTGTGTGTGTGTGTGTGTGTGTGTGTGTGTGTGTTCCCCCAAAAAAACTTCGCAGAGTTTCCGCGGAGAGGTGCGGAACGGCGCAGCTGCCGCCCAACTCCGCGCGGGGGGATCCTGCTGTGCGCTCCCCAAACGGGTGTTTTGGACTCTGGGTGGTTCAGGGCTGCCTGTTGCCAGCTGGTTTGCGCAGGATTAAAAACAACGACAGCAGTGCTTTCGGGATAGAAACGGCTTCTTAAATCATGATAATAATAACTGGATGTACAACGTAGATCTTCCCCAACTGCCAAGGGCCCTAGAGAAGTTGGCTTACACTGTTTTAAACCATTGCTGCAGAAGATTAAAATTCAAGTTAAAGGCTCTTTCAGTGACAATCTGCCATCATCTCTTACAATTCGTTAAGCCGGTCAGCCCTAAAACTGTGAATTACCAATAGAAAACCATTAGGAACCAGAGCTACAATAGCCAGATGCTCCCTAACTTACATCCCTATTGTGGCTCCTTATAAATTACCAAACTTTAATGAATTAGGCTGTAACTTTCTGCCTTGGCAGCCTGGTCTGGATGTGTTCCGAATGTTCCAAGTCCTTTGGCACTTCCATGGATGAAAGCAGAGTGGGAGAAAAGCATCACTTTGGTCATTCTTGGACTTGCTGTGGTTCTTAGGACTAACACTGGAAACAGGGTCTTGAAATTTGGCATGAAGTAGCCTTTTATGGTCTTTTAGATAAATCCACCGAAATTTGTCATGTTACTGGGTTTTGAAGAGCAGTTCACTACACAGCAATAAACATGCCTCTCAAAATGCTGCTCTTGGGGCACCTGCTGCTTCAGGTGGTCAGAGCCCTCTCAGCAGCCACCCAGGGATCAGGAAACACCAACTACTGGCTAGAAAGTGTTTCCTGGGATTACAAGAACAATGGGATTCATGAACACATCCCCTGTCTTTAAGCCTCTGACAGGATTTCACCTGCAGATCCCACCTCACCTACAGCACAGTCTGTCTTAAGGGATATTGTGAAGGTCACTGTGTTACTTGGGCTGGACATCAGAAGTGTCCAAAGCAAGGCATTGCATACCAAATTCTTGAGATTTTCTTGTGCACATGTACTCTAATGCAGTTCTCAGTTACACTGTCACAATCTGATTTCTCTGTGACACCTGCACAGCACTGATCTGTTCCATAAGCCAAAAAGGAAACAAATTTTGGCCAGATCTTCATTTTATCTGCATAGCCAGCATCTGCCCAAGAAGTAATGCAAAGGCTGCAAGGCACAGATTGTGACAAAAGGATAAAACTCTCCCAAAGAAGCAGATCCTTTCCGTGCCCTTGCCACAGAGTGTGTAACACTACAAGTCATTAACCCAAACTTTTGGCTGCTGATGGCTGTATTGCCCACTGCGGGTGCATGGCTGGAAACCTTTAGCCTGAATTGCTGACATCCATCTTTGTGCAGCTGTAAGCAGTGGGTGCTGTGCTTGCATGTATGAAGTGCTGTATCATGTTAAATGCTCTGAAAACACAGACGTTAAGCTTTTCAGATGGAGTACCCTGAATTAGTCAAAACTGACCTTAATCCATCCATGTGTCACTCTGACCCATCTTCAGAATGAGTCTTTGGAGAGGCTTAATGAAGGTGCTGAAGCACTGAGGCAGTGTAGTGGAAAGTGAAATTAAAAAAGCCATGAGGAAATTAGTAACTCTGTCTTTTGAGGAACCTGCAGGTCCCTCCTCTGGTCCTGCACAGCATGCTACAGCCTTACCACCCTCTGGGCCATTTCTTCAGGATTTCTGGTGTACACTCTAAAGAAGGTCACAGCACAGCATGGCAGGTCCACAGCGTGCCTAGTTCCAACCTCAGTACATTTTTACCATCCAGGACCATGAGCACCTTTTTCTGCTTTCAAAACTGCAGAGAAATACTGGAGTACTTTCTATTGCTTTGAAATCCAAAAGTGGTCAGACATGTTAATAATGTGCTGAATAATGTGCTCTGCCTAGACTCATGTGCTGAACAATAGGCATTGCTGAGCCCCTTGCTGACCATCTCACTGCACACACAGCGATGCAGAAGGAAAAGAGTATCTGAACGTGCAATTAAAGTCTTGCTCTGCTTCAGCAAAAGGGTGTAGATGAAGTTGCACTGCCAGGAGTTCGGACATTTCTGCTTTTTAAATACTCCCCTTAATAGATTTTTGGCTACCATGTATGCACACTTAAAACCAGCTTTTGTACAAATGCGTAAATGTGACACACGAGACAGCGCCTGGATGGATGGTTCTCCAGAAAGGTTATGTATATGTTATATACAACACTCAGTTTACATAGTATGATATTTATGTAACATTTATGAAGAGCTCTGACAGGGTGTTGCAGGGTGTTGTCAGTTGGCATTTGCTAGGAAAGGAAATAAATCTAATAATAAAAACAACAAAAAAAAAGCATTTTGGAAGAAACAATACTGCACAAATCCTTTAAAAGGACAGAATTGTCTGCACAACAAAGGCTTGGCTGATTGATGCTAAAATAAGCAGTTATGCAACAAGTAAGAAATACAATCTCCAGGGAAGAAACCAGCAACATTTCTCTTTTATCTTTGTTCACTGGTGCTTATTTTTGCAAACCTGAAAGGAAAAATATAGACAACCTTTCCATGATGAGCACGCAAGTAAAATTAACAGATGTTTTGAAGTGAAGGACAGAGTCTCTGTGAGTTTTGTATGAGTTCTGCAGAGTTAAATCCCATCACTTACACTGAGTCCCCCAAAATGCTGCAAACCTCAGGGCTGCTTTCCCACCTTGGAGGAGCTTCCTGCTGGAGTGATTAGGCATGAATATCTGGATTTTAGGAGTGAATTGGCTCACCTTAGAGCTACGAAAGTGTTAAAGCAATTTCAGGAGAAGAAGCATATGAAATAGCTCATCTTCAACATTTTGATTTAAATAAATCTCTCAGAAAGAGTTGAGACCAGTGAAAATGTCAGTGAAGTCAAGGGAAAGGAGGAAAGCCCAGTTGCCATGTTGGCATCACATTTGATTACCATAATACAGGAGAACCAGACAGATAGGACTGGTCCATGGGGGAGTGCAAGTAGTCCCCAAAGAGACCAAAAACCCAATGTCATTTTGAAGATCTTTAGAGCAATTCTATTTTCTGACATTAGCTAGTAAAAAAAAAATCAGGGAAGCTCAGCTCCCTTAGCCTATTCCTACTGCAATCCACCCAGCCCCAGGGCTGAGTGTTGGAGGACCATGGAGCAGGGAGCTCCTCCAGTAACGGAGAGTTCCTAGAGATCCCTCAGAAACACCACACAACTTGAAAACAGCACAGGAGACACACAGCTGATAATTTACTGCCTTAGATGCCCTCTTTTGAGGCCTCTGGTAGCCAGAAGTCATCAAAATAGCCTCATGGCTACTTTAATTCCTTTCAAGGACCAGGGCAGTGCACAGTCATTCCAGGAGGGCAACACAAAGATGACAAGAATCTTGCTGCATCCACATCCCAGCTGGGGTCATCCAATATCCCAGCTACTCAGGATATTTAGTTTTTATTAAAATATGTGTTAATTGGGAGAGTAGTAAGCAGATACAGCAGAAGGAAAATTAACAAGCTCTGTTCTAAATTACAATAATAATCATTCATCTCTTCAAGAATGAACTAGGATAGATAAAGGGAGAGATGGCTGCTATGGTCATTATATAAACTAATCCCTTTTCTTTCTCATTCATTCTGCATAATTCTTTTTCTCTCTGAAGCTAAGGAAAAACACTGTATCTACAGGAGAAAAAATCTGATTGGCAGATCAGTGGATAGTGAGATTTTGTTTGCAGTCTCAATTACCTTCAGTAGCTGGAAAATTGGTATCAAAATAAACTGTAAATTAAAAAAAGAAAAAAATGTAGATATAGCATTACAAATGTCCTTCCCTTGACAGATAGCTTGGTAATTCTCTGTGTTCTAGCAACAGCTGCTTTAATATCTTTCAAAGAAATGGCAGCCTCACACTGTCTGAAGGAATTACCTTTAAGGAATGCATCCGTAAGTGGCTTTGTGCAAAGATACTCACATTCTTGTGGGGTTTGCACTGCATTTTTTCTGCCAAATTTCAAGATTCCTTTTTTGTTGTTGTTGCCGTTGATCTTCCTGTTTTCTCTAAGTTTGCCGCTATTGCCGAATGCATCTAATACATCTCACATTTCATGCATTCCCCAGACTGGAAGAGCTGGGGCTTTTAGAGGGCTCTTAAAGGTAGATTGG